ACTTGGAGGGTCGGGGGCATTTAGTAAGTCTACAGGCTTATAGCCCAGAAAGGTGATATAGTAACCCGAGTCATGCCCATCATCAACCTACTTACTAAGTTCCTTTGATCCTCCAAGTAGCATCGAACAGAAGCCTGAATAGTTAGCAGCATTTTCCCCCTAAGCCATGGTATGACACTAGTACATGGTGTAGGCCTCTACAATACAATTTCTGCAGACTTTCCAGATAAACGGCGTGTCCATTTCATGTCCAGTCCTTCGCCACCTTCTTCTCGACTATTCAAGTATCTACGCCCCAAGGCCCTAACCTCCAGGAAATCCTTATATACTCCGTTTAGAATCCCTCGTTACCATATTGGGTATATATATATATAGTACATAACTGGGTTTCCCCCATTTAGTAATTTAAGTGAAATTCATTCACAGCAACCCAGAGTAAGGTCCCTCGCAGGGGGATACAGGGACTATATAAGGGTAATATTGGAACAACTGCAAGTCAGGCAAGGGACCTGATGTTAAAGCCCTGAACCCTAAACCCTAAGCCCTAAACCCTAAACCGTAAACCGTAAGCCCTAAGCCCTAAACCCTAAGCCCTAAACCCTAAACCCCCTTCTCTTCGGAGGTTGGCTCAGGCGCGCCGGCTGCAGCGCCGGCCGCCTCTGGCGGGATGGGCGCCCCACTGCTGGACAAGGGCGGACACCAGGCAGGGGGGGTTTAGGGTTAAGGGTTGGGAGTTTGGGGGTGTGGGTTTAGGATCTAGGGTTTAGGGTTTGGAGGGAAGGGTTTAGGAAGCTAACTGGTATTCTACATAAATATGGGAGTATACAGGGTTGAGACTTGGGACTTGCCAGGGGGAAGCTAACTACACGAGACTTCTAGCAGGCGCGTAGCGTTTTGAATCCTGACCGCTTGTTTGCAGCCAAGGGACAAGCCTTCTCCCGAAACCCAGAGCCCTAAACCACAAGCCTTAAAGCATAGAGCCTACACTCTTAACCCTAAACCCGGGATCCCTTCTCCCTGAAACTGAATTCTGCTCCGTCCAGGCCAAGAACTGGAGCAAGTCCGAGAAGAGCCTCACTTGATATCTGGGAGATTTCGGGATCCATTCCCTCATTCCCAGCTAACCAAAGGCCAGTATATAGTGCTTGTATAGGGATAGTGGAAAAGGAAATGGACACTACCATAATGGGTTATGTAGGGTTTAGGGTTTAGGTGGACCCCCCACCCAGTAATAGCGATGATAAGGGATGACAGTGGTTCTATCAGAATCCTCATATGTTCCTGGCATGCCACTATTGCAGGGGGGGTCCCCTTAAGGGACACATCGCTTGTGTCGGAAGGCGGGGGATTTTATACATTGCGGGGCATTCCTAAAGCTCGTATCCAGGGGCACTTTGGGAGACCTACTTTCTGGATAACTTGAAGGGGTTGATACAAGCGAATACATTCCTGGCGTCGCTGCAAAAAGGCTTGCATATCACGAGAGGACCTTTAGGAGCTTGACAATCCGAATATTGAATAGATGGACCATTGGCTTCTTCCAGCCTTGCGGCATCCCTATGATGACCCATGAGCACCTTACACCTTGGGAATCCTGAAAACCTATATCTGTTAAGCAAAGGCTGTTTGTGTCAACACTGCACAGGCTTCCTTCGAGATTTTGCTCAACGGGGCTAGAGGGTGGTTAGCTAGGAGGTGGGCTAAAGCTTAGGAAAAATCTGCGCGGCTTTAGCCGCATTGAGGTGGACCCCCTGAACGCTGCCCGCCAAAAATACCCAAGAAGCTGCGAAATCCTAACAACTTCCTCCATGCTATGTCTGAATGACCATACTCAGAACCTCCAATGTAGTTCCTTTTCGGGTAGTATATTATAGTCCCTTACCAAAAAACTATAACAAACCCAAAAAGGACCTTGGGCACACAAACTTCCATCGAGGTTTGCGAGGGCTTGTAGGCCTCTGAAGCCCCTTCTGCCACGGAATCCCTCATGAAGTGACCGGAAATTTCGACCGATTTTGTGACATCACGCTGCTTAAGGTTCTAGAGAGAGGTCCATTTGAAAAGGAGGTCCAGGAAATGGGCTTGTGATCTTGATTTAGAAGCTATCATACCATGCATTGGACTCAAGCGGATTTGCTTTTCACATAGGCTTCACTACAGGACGTAGGATTCGCGACATGCTGATCTTGTAAAATCCGCAATGTGTTTACTGCAACAGTCCCATGTCCTTCATGCCTGGGCTAGCCCATAGTTTCAAATTGGGTTTAGTGTTTAGGGTCTAGGGTTTAGGATTTAGGGAATTGAAACTTTCAATGGTGTACGAAACGTTCCTTACCTTCTCCTGAAATGCCAGGCTTGGAGTCTTCAGTCAACCCTGCATCGACCCTGCAATCTAGATGACTTGTCTTTGAACCATGCGACTTCACATCCCCATCAGCTTTCTGATGTCGATCCCCCAGCCTGGAATCCTGGAAAGTGTTTATACGCTCCGGCAGTTGTGAACTGGATCCCTCTACTATACCATCCCTTTTTCAGTGCCTTTTGGCAATCTTCCACTCAAAACGAATCATTCTGAAAACCCGTAATGAGGAGTCCCGACCTGAAACCGTACTTTGTTTTAATACACCCCAAGCCCCCAACCCTAAACCCTACAGCATGGATCAACTGCAAAGTCCACGCAGCCCCAAGAGAGGCCTCGCGCCCTAAACCCTGGATCCTTCAAAACGGCTTGGGGCTTCGGGTTAGCAGTTAGGGTTTAGGGTGTAGGGGTTTAGGAGTTACGGTTCCCAAGCCCCTCTTAATAAGCGCCACGTAATCCCAGCACAATCCGAAAGCATCCCTAGGGTCCCCTAAACCCTAAACCCT